AAGCACTATCACGAGCCGCAGAACGAGCCTTTTCTGCCGCATCTTCGGACACACCAAGAGCCTTAAACTCATCATAAGCCTGCTTGCTAACAATGTCCACATCCTTCTCAATAAACTGAAATTCTCCAGGCATAATAGTAATATAACGTAAACCAATGGTAAATCAACAAGGAGCTGCTACCAATTAGATGTCAAGGTATGAATGCAGGTGCAAGAAGTTGAAGTAGAGCCCAACTTGTAGATAACGCAAACCAGACCTTGAATCTTAGAGTACACTTCCAGTGCACAGTAGATACGATAGAACCGTAAATGCTTACGGACAATTCCACACTCACTTATGAGTAGTGATCTTGCAACACTCTAGCGTGCTAGCTACACAGCTTAGCGTACTACACAAATGGAGCAATGGTCACAACACACAAGACGGGCCGAAGGTTTTCATGGCGAGTGACGCTTCTGGGACATCGTCCCATAACAATGTGGGCGGCGGAGCGAAGCGATTCACGATTACGATTTTCGAGCTCTTAGCGGAGCGAAGCGATTCATGATAAAGATTTTGTAAAGTTCTAGCGGAGCGAAGCGATTCATGACTTGTATTTTGTCAATTCAAACAGTCAGGATCTACAAACTCAGTAAGAATGAAGTTTGGGAAGAACATATCACTTCAGCAGGCCCAACGGACGGATCTCCACTACTTACAGTAAAGATATTTTCGAGGTTGCCTTGGTAAGATACGGATGAGGTCAGATACAAGCTTCTGAAGAAGATTCTTAAGAGGTCTACTAGGAGCACACAGGCCGATGGTAGCAGTAGAGCTGCTTATGACCATCACCCTAATCAGCAGTCCTTTGAGAAGATGCTCGAGGATGAGGTGGGCGGCGTATCTTAGGTTCAAGTTGGTAAGATACGGATCATGTCAGATTGATGAGGTCAACATATCATTCAGCGAACATGCTAATAGATTACAAGATGAAATTACAGCGTTAAGTTCAGAAGGTTCACGTAGGCTGATGAGGACTTATAAAAAGGTCGAAAAATATATTTCCTTTTCAGAAGAAGTATCTTCATCTGAACGCTTAAGACGTTTGATGAGTTTAAGTCGATCAGTTGATGAATTGAGGAAATTTGCAGTTTGGAATGCAGTTGGTGTTGTCAAGATTCTAAAGAAGCGGAATAAATTAAGGTGAGTATCTTACCTTTCCTAACCTACTATTCTGTATCTTACCTTTCCTAACCTACTATTCTGTATCTTACCTTTCCTAACCTACTATTCTGTATCTTACCTTTCCTAACCTACTATTCTGTATCTTACCTTTCCTAACCTACTATTCTGTATCTTACCTTTCCTAACCTACTATTCTGTATCTTACCTTTCCTAACCTACTATTCTGTATCTTACCTTTCCTAACCTACTATTCTGTATCTTACCTTCCCTAACCTACTATTCTGTATCTTACCTTTCCTAACCTACTATTCTGTATCTTACCTTCCCTAACCTACTATTCTGTATCTTACCTTCCCTAACCTACTATTCTGTATCTTACCTTTCCTAACCTACTATTCTGTATCTTACCTTTCCTAACCTACTATTCTGTATCTTACCTTTCCTAACCTACTATTCTGTATCTTACTTTTCCTAACCTACTATTCTGTATCTTACCTTTCCTAACCTACTATTCTGTATCTTACCTTTCCTAACCTAATATTCTGTATCTTACCTTTCCTAACCTACTATTCTGTATCTTACCTTCCCTAACCTACTATTCTGTATCTTACCTTCCCTAACCTACTATTCTGTATCTTACCTTTCCTAACCTACTATTCTGTATCTTACCTTTCCTAACCTACTATTCTGTATCTTACCTTTCCTAACCTACTATTCTCTATCTTACCTTTCCTAACCTACTATTCTGTATCTTACCTTCCCTAACCTACTATTCTCTATCTTACCTTTCCTAACCTACTATTCTGTATCTTACCTTTCCTAACCTACTATTCTGTATCTTACCTTTCCTAACCTACTATTCTGTATCTTACCTTTCCTAACCTACTATTCTGTATCTTACCTTCCCTAACCTACTATTCTCTATCTTACCTTTCCTAACCTACTATTCTGTATCTTACCTTTCCTAACCTACTATTCTCTATCTTACCTTTCCTAACCTACTATTCTCTATCTTACCTTCCCTAACCTACTATTCTGTATCTTACCTTTCCTAACCTACTATTCTGTATCTTACCTTTCCTAACCTACTATTCTGTATCTTACCTTTCCTAACCTACTATTCTGTATCTTACCTTTCCTAACCTACTATTCTGTATCTTACCTTTCCTAACCTACTATTCTGTATCTTACCTTTCCTAACCTACTATTCTGTATCTTACCATCAGGGCCACCTCGGACCCCCAAGGCGATCTTCAAGACAGCAGCATTGATATGGACGAGGAGCGCTCCCGGTGGCTTCGTCGACAAAAATTTTTCACCGGGACCGATTTTGCGGAACTACAAGTAAGACTAATACTATAACTACTACTATAATCACTACTACTATAACTATTACTATTACTATTACTATAACTACTACTTTGATCACTACTACTATAATCACTACTATTATAGCTACTTCTATCTCTTGCTTCATTCTTTCCTTCTTCCCTTGCAGGCGTCCATAGAGTCCCTTTCGAACGCTCTTTGTCGCGAAAGACTGCACGAGTTGGGACCCGAGAAGTTACCTTCCCAGTTGGTCTTGGCCGAGGACGATGATTGCCCTGTTGGAATGTTCAGAGACGAGCGATGTCCGATCTGCCTCGAAAAATGCAGTGACGTGGTGGAGCTCTCAACTTGCGAACATCGCTTCTGTTGGAAGTGTTTCGTCCTGGGCCCCATCGCGTTCGCCCCTGGAGAATACAGATTCGACCGCTGCCCGATTTGCCGTCGTGAACAGCCTCTTGATCCTACGGTAAACTTCAAGACCGATACGAATAGCAACTCGACGACTAACATGTTGTTGAGAATGGCTAAATATGTTGAAGTAGAAGATCCACCGAAGAATGAGCAAGTCCAATCTAGTGAGCCCAGTTCGAGCTCTTTCTTCTCTACGTTGCCAGCGACTTCCCATAAGAGTGCTGAAGGTAGTGTTTCCTCTGAAAAGAGTTCACAGCAGAATGCGGCGTGGACTGGCAATTCGGCCGAGGCCATGTATAGCCAATTTTGCTCGCTGTGTTGTGAGCCATTATTGCTCGATTCGGTTGTTACCACACCTTGCAAACATTATTTCCATCGTCATTGTCTACAGCGGCAAACAACAACAACCTGTCCACTCTGCGGTGCTAAGAATCTACCTCTTGATCTCTTCATGCCTCGACACATGCAAGCTCAAGTAAAGGAGCTCGGGAGTTGGCGTGTATGCTCGTGCGAAAATCAAAGTATAGATATATTCCCAGATGGTCCTTGCTCCACTTGTTACGGTTGGCGGCTGCATTCACCACCGCCGAGTAACCTTTATGCTACTTCGGGGTGTATGTCGAGTTACTTGCATTTGCTGCCCTCGTCAGCCTGGTCCAAAGTGAGTCCTCTGGAAGGTGTAGTTTTTCATGCTGGCTTTACTGATGATGACGAGGATGAGTTTTCTAGTAGTGATTCTAGTAGTAGTTTTTGCGATTCGATATGCGGTGTTGACGATCATAGTGCTTTCTATGCAGCGTGTGGTTCCTTACCGTCCTTTGAAAAGGACATTGAGTCGGCCACTGCGAGTGTTTGTAGACGCCGTGAAGAAGCTGAGAAAGAATTCTTATATTCTGGGGTTAACTCTCATACCACTCCATTGGTAAATCAAGAGCAACTACCGTCCACGTAATTACTATAAGTGTAAGCTCCTATACATCCACGATGTTCACTACGAGTGCGTGTTTGTAGTTTTATGTACATTTTACTGTTTTCGAATGAGTTTTGAGTTCTCGTGTATTTTGAAAGTTGCTCAGTTTGTTGTTGTGATTTGAATAGTAATATGAGTAATCCTGTATCTGCTTGCAGTCTGAGGCGGGATCAGTCGGGGTTCAGCCCAGCCGAATCTTGGAAGCCTACACAAGAGTAATAATGATTAGTAGTAGTAGCAGTTTGGGAGGATTTGCATATGATCAACTACGTGTGTTGATGGAATTCCCGTTGGTTTTTTTTCTACACTTCTACCCGAATTCGTGTATAAGACTTCCATACAGGTAATTTCAGAGCTCAGTTGAGGAAAGCCAACATATTTCCCAACACATTCATCACGATCTACTACGTGTGTTGATGAAGCTATCGTTGGTTTCTTACTGTACACTTCTAAGTCGTGTACTTCTATAATGTAGTCTTGGAAACGCCTGAGCTGTGAAGGAACCCCACACATATATTCCTCCAACACTAATTCTGTAACTAATGAACCGGCATTTGATACCAAAACTGCGTGAATTACTCTAATTGTCGATCTTATGGCTATGTGGACTTGCTATGTAGTTACTAAATCAGATTGCTAATTTGCTCATCTTGAATGTTAATATCTCAGGTATCGCAAACGCGCAGGATGTGTGGTTTTCAACGAGGCCGGTGAGTTACTCTCCTAAAGATGCAACACTGGAAACCAAATTCTTAGAAATTATAGTTTTTAATATATATTTCCAATGTCGATTCACGTTGTAATCATGTTGGTGATGTATAGTGTAACTCTCAGAATTGAAAAAGTTTTATTTTTCTCCAGGGAGTGAAGCGGGTGAGTTTCTGCTATACATTCAACAGTGAAAACCAAATTCTTGGAAATTTCTGTTT